GTATGAGGTAAACACAATTCGTGCAAAAGGTTCATTCTGTCTTTGTTAAAGGGATTTTGAAACTAGTCGGCTTTCCCAAGCAGTACAAGTTAAACTATTTCAAAGGTAAATTTTATTAATCCATTTTACGCTAACAAACACCAGACAAAGAGGACCGATTCTAGAAGAGACAAGGAGAAGGTAATGCTTCGAAACCTCATCCCTCAAGATTCGAATTTTGAAGGTCTGCTTGCTAGTAGTTTAATTATCCTTTATCAACCACGTCACCGCGGCAGAAGAGCCTTTTCAAGTGGAAAATAAAATTTGTGTCCTTTTTTTTCTTGCTCATGAATAATATAGCCAACCCGGCCTTATTAACTAGAAAAATGTCACACTCTTCATTATATTTACCATGCCATAACACCACTCACTGATTTCATGTCGTTCCTTAAGTTGCTGATGTACAGGAGATTCCACCACCAGACCTCACTGCAGTCGGTGTCCCGGTCTGGCAAAGTTGTCTGGAAAGGGCCGTATTCTAGATATGGCGTGATTCCAGCGTAGAGCAGCATCGCAAGGCCAAACAAGGGAGTGATTCTGTTGAAAGAGTTGAAGGGTTGTGCTTTTTGTCTTATTTAATATAGATGTACTTTGGAAATGGCATAGTATATTGTCGTATAGCATTAAAATGACACGGAATGGTGTGGTATGGTTTTGTATGATATTTACGCTGTGGTGTAATCATACCATGGCATGACATGCTGTTTATTGGTGCAGTATAGTATAATATGGTATGGTGTGGTGTGGTGTGGCGTGACGTGGCGTGGTGTGGTGTGATGTGGTGTGGTGTGGCGTGGTGTGGCGTGCCGTGACGTGGCGTGGGGTAGCGTGGTGTGGCGTGGCACGGTACGGTACGGTACGGTACGGTACGGTATGGTATGGTATGGTATAGTATAGTATTGTATGACGTGGTATGATATAATATGGTATGGTATGTGTGATGGGGTGTGTTGTAGTGGGCTGTGCTGTGGAGTGCTGTGCTGTGGAGTGCTGTGCTGTGTTGTGCTGTGTTGTGCTGTGTTGTGCTGTGTTGTGCTGTGTTGTGCTGTGTTGTGCTGCGCGCTATGTTATGGTATGTACGGTTTCAACAGCTCTCTAGACATCCTAATTTATGGCCACACACTTCGTCGAACCAACAAATTAGCATTTTATTTCTTTGTTCAAAAATCATTTTCTCAAAGTACTCCATTCAAGGATAAAAAGTGGGCGGGGGAGGTGGACGCTGGTTGGAACAATGTCTCTGTCTTGACGAGACTGATGTGCAGACCAGAAAGGCTGGTCTAGCGTTGATCTCCTCATTACCCAGGCTGCTGTCGTTGCTGGTGGTACTGCTGAGGTAACATCCTACGTATCTAAGACAACGCTAACGTGTATCTCCACGCCTCACCTGAGGTATCTGTGCAGGTAGTACAGAGCCATGTCCTTGGGCTTTATTCTCCCGGCCTTTTTAGCGGCTCGTAAGAAGATGTAAGCTACAAGACAACCACTGGGGGCAAACAATACGAATAGTTTATATTAATATAACTTTGAATGTTAAAATAAAAACAGCAAAATGAAAATTAATTATGGGAAAGGAAGTGAAGAGAGAGATATGAAAATAATTATATATGGACCGGGGACCACAGTCAGTATTAATGAAGAGTTGTTGAAATTAATCTTAGCGAAAACCAACTTCTCCAATAATTCTTTACTCCGAACGTGTATTGTGGCTTTTTTTTAAACCGCACTGAGCAAGAGCATGCTGTTATTGCGCACGACTCCTCTCCATCTAGATGTTTGAACCAGTAGTTGAGTATCATTTTATTCGAATACCCTCGACACCGACATCACAGACACTGTGCAGCTACCATAGTGAGGAAACTGCAGTGTTCAGCTCTGGCGTATTTCAGCGTAACTTTGGAGGTAAGAGGTGGGTTATTAAGCCAGTCCAACAAACAATCTGGTTCTGACACTGAACGAACAAATGCACAAAGACAGTATCAAGATACGGAACTGCCCAGGATATTTAAAAATGTTTTACATTCTGCTTCGGAACATGAAAGAGAGGAAAAGTAAAACGTACAGGAGATTATGCACTTAGGATGTGCTTTGAGAAAGATATTTGGTATATCGGCTCTGTTTCCTTTCATTCCTCTGTTTTTTAGCGCAATGTGCTTGTTGTTGTTGTTGTTGTTGCTGCTGTTATTGTGGTTGTTGTTGTTGTCGTCGTCGTCGTCGTTGTTGTTTTTGTTGTTGTTGTTTTCGTTGTTGCTGTTGTTGTTGTTGTAGTAGTTGATGATGTTGTTGTTGTAGTAGTAGTTGATGATGTTGTTGTTGTAGTAGTAGTTGTTGCTGTTGTTGTTGTAGTAGTAGTTGATGATGTTGTTGTTGTCGTCGTCGTCGTCGTTGTCGTTATTGTTGTTGCTGTCGTTGTTGATGTTGTTATTGTTGTTGCTGTGGTTGTTGCTGTTGTTGTTGTTATTGTTGTTGCTGTTGTTGTTGTCGCTGTTGTTGTTATTGAAATTAGTTACACTTCCCATCAACATAAGTTAGATATCTAGTACATAAGCAAACCACTAGGACAGACCGAGTGAATGACAGCGGTTTTCGACAAACAGGGGAAACTAAACACAGAGGCTAAACAACAGTCTTTCAGCTGTGGGAATTTGAAAGTTACAACGTTCAAAAAGAAAAGGATAAAACTGACTGTTTATGCTTACACACCGTTTCGATGAAATAATTATATCATTTCTTTTCGATTAACACTTCTTGCAAATCGATGTCCCTTCTTGTTTTCATAGTTTGACTCATCGTGTAATATCTCCCCCC